CCTGTGCGGCAGCCACCCCGCAGCTGCCCCTGCTGGGCCAGTCCCCGGGCTCCTGACCTCCAAGGACTCATCAGCCGCCTAGGCGAGCGGGCCTCGCCACCTCCGAGCCGGGCTCCCGGGGCAGAGGAGGGGGTGCCAGGGACAGACCCGGGAGAGGGAGCCCACGACCCAAACGAACGGCGGCTTTCTCCTCTTTCTAAGCTCTGACCCAGGGCGGCGAGGCAGCGGACCAATATTCAGAGTTTTCTCGGGGACTTATCTTTAAATTCTGTATTTAAGTTTTTCCCCCTGGAAAAGTGCAGAGGCCCGGCGTGTCTTTCCAGCCCGGCTGGGACCGAAATGTCCCCGGCGGGTGCGCTTCGCTCCTGCCTCCCTAAGACCCGGCTCTCCCGTTCCCGGCTCCAGAGAACGGGGAGATCGGGCGAAGGGATCGAAACCCGGGAGCTAGTGAGCGGACGGGGCCCGAGGGGACCATCCACGACCCCGGAGGATCATGGCTGCCCTGGGCCTGGCGCGAGGGCCAGGAGCGTGGCCAGCAGAGGATACAGAGAGGGGGCCCTAAACTTTGCGAGCAAAGCCAAAGAGTTTGGGGTTTTCTCATTCGGGAGGGAAATGGATTCACTAAAAGCCCAAACGAAGAAAAACTAACCCACAGTTCAGGCTGGAATGGAGGCCGATCTAGTCAAGGGAGGAAAGGGAACGGCTGTTTTTGTTCTGTTTTTTTAAATGAGGGGCGGGGTGGCGTGTACCCGGTTCTGAACTCAGGCAGGAACGCGAAGGGTTAATGAATGGACCAGCCGCTGGGTATCGATCTGCGGCCGCGGGGGGTCGGTCTTTTCCCGGCTCCCAGCGCTACACTCATTCCTCGCCTCTTTTCCCGGAGTTTTAACTTTGTTTCTTCCACCCCCACCCAGAGAAAAATAAAACAAACAAACAGAAATAGCAAGGAAGGAAAACACCCAAACAGAATTTTCTCCAGCCCTGGCGAGACTCGGCTCATTTCTCTTAAAAGAAAAATAAGTAAATAAATAAACAAACAAAACCCAGACGGAACCTGCCTTCCCGACGCGGCCGCTCGGCGCCGGGGTGGAAAGGGCCAAGCATCGGCGGTTTCAATCCGCGCGGGTTCCCGCCCCTGCGGGGCCTCCAAAAAGCAGGAAAACACACACACACAAATCCCTGGATTTTGCCCTGGGCGCGCGGGGGAAAAACAAACCCCTTGATTCTGCCCCGGGCGCGCGGGTCCCCTCGCCGCCCCAAGAAAGTCAGAGACCGAGAAGTCACGGGTCTGCGCGGAAGGGACGCGGAGCCGGTGGCGAACAGGGTAGAGCGCAGTCGAAGGCGCCCAGTCCTCGCCCCTTGGAGCCAAGGTTGCGAGGGCATCGC